ATAGCTGATAGTAGATGGGTAAGTCCTGTTCATTGTATCCCTAAGAAGGGAGGTATTACTGTTGTTCCTAATGACAAGAATGAGCTTATTCCACAAAGAATTGTCATAGACTATAGAATGGTAATTAATTATAGAAAATTAAACAAAGAAACTAGAAAAGATCATTACCCTCTGCCTTATATCGATCAAATGTTAGAAAGATTATCTAAGCACACACATTTTTGCTTTCTTGATGGATATTCTGGATTTTCACAAATACCTGTTTCACAACCTGATCAAGAGAGGACCACTTTTACTTGTCCTTTTGAAACTTATACTTATAGACGTATGCCCTTCGATTTATGTAATGCACCTGCTACCTTTCAAAGATATTCAACACATGTTTCAACCTTGACTTCATATCACTGGTGCTTCAGTACATGCCAAATGGCAGCTTAGATAAGCTCCTACACAAGCCTCAGAGTTCATGCATGGCGCCTAGGGTTCCTTGAGACACTAGGCATCATGATCGACGTGTCGATGGCAATGGAGTACCTCCATCATGATCACAGTGAGCTGATCTTGCACCATGACCTGAAGCCTAGCAATGTGCTATTTGACGAGGAGATGACGACGCATGTAGCAGACTTTGGCATTGCAAGGTTGATTCCAGATGACAACTGCATGATATGCGCGAGCATGCCAGGAACAGTTGGATACATGGCACCAGGTACCTAATTACCCAGCTTTTGTTATCCTATTCGACCACTTATAGATTATGTATCCACCTGCATCGATATGGTCGAGTGACCATGCTTCAATTCGCGTTCATGGTTTTGTTGAGCAGAGTACGGGTCTCTCGGAAAAGCATCGCGGTCTCTCGGAAAAGCATCGCGGAAGAGTGACGTGTTCAGCTACAGGGTCATGCTCCTAGAAGTCTTTACTGGGAGGAGACCCACGGATGCCACATTTGACCCTCCGACAGTGGGTCCATCAGGCATCCCCTGTGGAGCTTCTCCGGGTCGTGGACGGCCAACTACTGCAAGGGTCCTGCCTTTCTAGCAGGAGCTCGGACGATGGCCTTTTCACGCCCATTTTCGAGCTAGGTTTGCTCTGCTCCAGCGACTCGGAGTGAGCAGAGGATGACGATGCGCGATGTGGTTGCGGCGCTGAAAAAGATCAGGGCCGAGTACGCCAAACGGACAAGAACAATGCCGTTTACTGTTGCACAGTGATCGATCTCCCTTGCTATTTTTATTTTTATTTTTCGAGGATTATCTCCCTTGCTAATGGGTTGGTGCGCTGTGGCCACCGGCGCTCCAGTGAGTCACAGCGTCGCAGCCCGACCGTTATGTCTGGACGCGCACGCTGCTCTTAAAATATGCAAAAGTGACTTGGGAAATATAAAATCTGTGGAGAAGTTCCTGTGGCCAGGTTTCCATCATGCGAACCACCTCGGCCAAATCAGTTCCACGGGCAACGCCATCATTCTCCTACAACTGTAATGTCGGAGGACAATCGTACTACTATTCTAATCACAATGGGGAGGAAAGATCTCTTCTGGTTCTGGAATTGTACTAGTAGCATCTCCAATGAACTCTTCTTGACGATGACAACAGCAACAGGAAAGCATGGCAACAATCATAAACAAGTGCTGCAGCAGTACGTGCAGCGCAGCACATGGAGCCATGGTCCATGGAGAGGACGACGGACAGTTATCGGAGCCACCAAAAGCACAGCAACATACTCCCTCCGTCCCGAAAAACATGTCGCGGGCGCAGTTCAATGTTGATTTTGCAAAAAAGCCCTTGTAGTTTTAAAATCGTCTGAAACAAGCCCCTCCGCCCCCTGTTTTCTTCCTCCGTCGTCGATAGGGGCCGGCGCCGCCTAGCTGCGCGACTCGCCGCCCATCAGGAAGTGCTCCGCCGCCGTCGCCACCTACCTGCTCCGCCGCCGCCGTCGCCACCTACCTGCTCCGCCGCCGCCGTCGCCAAGTACCTGCTCCGCCGCCTTCCCCGCTCAGACCTGCGTCGCCGCGATCCCCTCCCGCTTCGATTACCTGCGGGCATCGTCGGGACCTCCGGCCACGTCCTCCTCGAGCTCGCGGGCGTCCTCCTCGAGGTCCAGTGCATCCTCCTCAAGCTCCAGCACATCCTCCTCAAGCTCCAGTGCATCCTCCTCGAGCTCCCACGCGTGCGCCGCCGCAATTCATCCCGGTCGCGATCCCCTACAGGCGTCGCCGAAAATTGCCTCCACGATCCGGTGGACCAGGAGCTCGCGCGCGTCCTCCTTCTCCCCTGCCCGCGCGCCCTCCTCAATCTTCCGCGCGAGCCCGTGCGGCTGCTTCTCCCCTACCGCCGGTGCTGCTGCTGCTCGTCTGCCCGTGCTGCCGCCAGAGCTCCTGCTCGTCAAGAAGAAGAAGGTACCGCAAGGAGTTGCTCCTCTGGTCCCTGTGCTGAATATGATCAGTGTACGGGAGTTGCTGCTCTACTCCTGTTCGTCAAGAAGAACTGCTCTGCTCCTGTTAACTGAATATGATTAGTGTTAATTGAATAAAAAACAGTAGATATCAGGGGGGGGGGTGGAGGGAGCAAGCTAGAAATAATTGGTTTGGAAATAATTGGTTTTGAACTGTCCATGATTTAGATGAATCCAGCTTTTCAATTTAATCTGTATGCTGTTAGCAGAAACCTTGGAACTTGAAAACCCAAATCTGGTTCAGTTGAGTAAACAGCAAGAAACACATATTTTTGGTCTTGAACTTGTTTTGCATGTTGGTGGATGGCCATGCTTGTGCTGCAAGTACAAGTTAAATGAAAATAATGTTCAGATTTCTTCAGAGAAACACTGAATAAAACAGTTAACAGTAGGTGTGTACAAAACGTGGTCTGAAGCTTGTTGGGAGAGAATCACTACATAAGGCACATATTCACACTAAACCTTGATACAGAAATTATTGGTTACATAAGGCACATATTCACACTAAATCAGTTTCGACAGTGTCAAAGCATCCAGTAGTAGTGACAGTAATTTTGATAATTCAAGCAAATTAATTGAACCTATCTATGCCCTGAAAAAGAATAGGTAATTGTGTCAACATTCAGTCAACATTCAGTTAGGCAAAAAAGAATAGGTAGTCAATTGATTTGCTTAATACAACAAGCCCTGAATTTAGTCAGTACTCTTAGAGCAATTTTACTGTCATGTTTACTGAATCTAAATCACAGGAGAACTATCGTTTCTAAATTTGTTTCAGTTAACTTATGTCAAAATTTCTTTCAAACAGTTTTCTGTCAACTTGTGAGCAAGAAAATGGCTTCAGAAAATTCAGTTAACTGAGACTACAGTGAATAATGTTTCAAATAATTATGAGTAGAAGTGGTTAGAGCAAAGTGTTTGATAGCAGGACTAAGCTGCATTCTTTTCTTTTTACCACCATAAACAGCAACTCAAAAAAATTCTGTCTCTCAGAAAACAAAGATGGTTATGGCATAGATAAAGATAAGGACGGAGCAGCAGCTGGTTGGACTTGGACACCTGAAATTTACTGTCATGCTCCACCCCATCCACACTTGATCGACAACTGATATTGACACAAAGCAAAATTCTCATACTCCACCCCATCCATACTTGATGGACACCTGAAATTGACAAAGGGATTTATCACAACATGACCCTGCTTAACCGTTCAATGCAGGAACAACGAACTTTTATTTTTTAAAAGAGGAACAACAAACTTAAGGGTTCTTCCATCCATCTCAGCACTATTTTAGCCAATCCTGAAACAGAAAATGCTAAAATATCGATCAGTTTTAGTTCAGGTTCAGTGCAAGAGGACATCTTTTAACTGAAATTCTTTGGTGTAATTTCAGTTAATTGAAAACAACAACTCTGCAAGTGGAGGTTTAACATGGTGCAGGCTCTCCTAGAGAATAGAGATACTCTCAACCTGATGGCTTGTCCCTCACCACGAACGCCACCATGCAACTCTAGCTTGCTCTGTTTAGCTCTGTTCCATTTCCGGTAGACCAATCGAAGAAGATGAAAAATAAATTGCAAGAGACTGAAGGGAGGAGAAGGGGGAAAATGAGACCTTTGACTCCGGCGGACTCCTTGGTGCAGCCGCGTAATGCTCCGGCGAGATGTAATCGATGTCGGTGAAGCCGCGTAGTGCTCCAGCTTGGAAGTGGAAAAGGGGCACACGTGCTTCCCACTGCTCAGGTCGAAAACCTCCATGGAGGGTGCTAGCTTCGTGGTCGACGGCGAGGAGGTGGTCGACGACGGGCACATGCGGAAGGAGAGCGGGCGTTGGGCGTTGGGCGGTCTTCTCCAAAAAAACTGAATCTTCACGTTCCTCTGCGGGCGGCGGACGGAGGGAAACGAGGCAGCGGCATGGGGCGGCGGGGCGGAAGCAAGGCGGCGGCAGCGGCAGGGGTGTGGGGGAGCAAGGATGCGGGGGCAAGAGGAGGGGGAGCAAGGCGGCAGGGGCATGGGGAGGGAGGGGGCGAGCAAATCTGCGGGCGTCAGTCGAGTGAGGACTGAGGAGAACGACGAGGACCGCGGGTTTGGTTGGGAAAACGATGAGGACTAAATTGCAAAAACACCAGCGCGACATGTTTTTCGGGACGGAGGGAGTACAACATGCAGGGCTGTACCAACGGCCGGCGACCAGCGCCGCCCGCCCCACCCTTTGTGCCGGCCACTCACAGCCATTCAGCCACCGGTTCAAACAAAAGCGTTTCAAAAAGCAGTGCCACTGCATCTGCATTCCAATCGCTCGCCCAAAAAACACAAGGTTATTTACAAACCCAGGTAGGTAGGAATAGTTCCATTTCCATATGTTGCTACATCGCTACTCATGATATGATAGATATAGATACCAATAGGGGAGGGATTTCGACCGCCCCACCGCGGTAAAATAGATAGGAGGGGGGGCAGCCAGCCAAACTAACAGGCAAAATATGACACACCCTTTCGAAAAAAAGCCGCAAAAAATGGCAGGCGAAACCGGATGCGGTTCATCAGCTGCTGGTGGCGACGATGGGGCTGAATGTCACGGGCCACGCCCCTCCTCGCCGGTTGGCCTCGCCGTGGGACGCCGACCGGCCCAGGCTCGACCCGAACCGCGAGCACCGGATGAGGCACGGGTTGGTGTCCATGGCGCCCATGCAGAAGGACGGGTTCAGCTTCATCGCCTGGCAGCTCAGCGACCGGAACGACGACGACCCCATCGGCGGCATCCGCATGCCCCCGCCGCAGTGGAGCTCGCTGCTGGCCCGGTACGGGTGGCCTCCACCAGGGGCCGCCGAGTCGGAGCTCACCGCCGGGCACGTCGCGCAGAACGACAGCGAGAGGCTGTTCCGGGGGAGCTGCTCCCTTATCGGGCTCGTGCCGGGGAGCGCCACGAAGGAGGTGATCGGGTGCCGGCACAGCGGGCACGGTATGGCGCCCGCGGGGTTCGCCGACGTGTAGCTGGTCGAGCAGAGGTACAGGGCGCATCTCGTGCAGAACTCGTGTTTGCATCCTGCACAGGTGAAAAGGCTCGCAGTCATTAACCGAAAGCAAGAAACGCGCTTGCTTTTTGTACTCCCTGCGGTTGTTGAGTTACCAAGTGGATATGTGCCAGAACATAAAGTGTGAGCTGATTGATGAACTTCATATGACACTCATGCAGGTAGTACTTCAACAGTTTCATGTCCTTTTGTGAAAGATGAAATCATTTCCAGTAAACTGACAGTTTGCTTAAAGCACAATAGCATGTGATGTGGGTAAAATGTATATTTCACTGCGTACCTTCTGCGGCAACAGAGCAGCTCCCGTCTAAGCAGACAGCACATGGGTCAATGCATACAGGTGACTTGTTTAGGTACCTCCAACCACACTCCCTACAAAGCAAATAGACACCTAACTATCAGATGTTACCACTAACCAAAATAAACACTTGACAATAGTTTATTATGACAGTCTGTTAAAAAATAGAAGCCACAATATCTTCATGTTGCCAGGGTTAGGGACAACATAGTGGTCTGATCATACTATAAGAGACCAATAATTATGCAAGTCAATAATACATATATGAATAGGGATGACAACTTATAAGAAATAATGTTCAGTTCTCTATTACATTTTTTCAAACGCAGACTACAGAAAAGGGAAGATAACCTATTTAGCAGCAGACTTTCTTGTTTTCGATAATGGAGATATTGTCCCCGGCCTTCTCAGCCGAAGATACGGACAGCCTCAAAAACTTATTGCATACTTTTTTTATAGCTAAACAAACTCAATTTGCACATGAGCAGGACAACTGGAAAGCAGAAAGTTCAGCTTTTTTGCAACATTTAGTACGCACTGACCTGGCAATGCTCATGATACTCATAAGTGGGAGGCACAAATATGGAGAAGGAAGAGTACGTGTTTGACCCCCTGGTTCATTACTCAAAATTTCCTCAATAGAGGTTCTATGCCATGAATGAGCTACCATTAACGGGGTCGAGCTGCATAAGGCAAATCAACAACCAAATCATAATGAGGACGAAAACAATGACAGTTCTTTGTATGTATCAGCAATTCAAAATCATACCCACTAGCATTTTTGGCAGCAAGGTTGGCTCCTCGAGCAATAAGAAGCTGCACTCAACAATGTATGGTTAGCGGATGTTGAGAAAATCACCATACATTTAAACAGCAAAACTGCCTTCAGATTAGCAGAACATACTTGACAACATACAGCATTTCCACCACAAGCAGCGTAATGAAGTGGGGTGCTACCTGATCCTGTCAGATGAAAACAAAGGAACTTATAAGTTATAACCCCATCATATCTGCATCAAAACACAAAGCTGAAAAATACAGTACCTATTGAGTTAAAAAGCAGCAGGAAAAAAGCAGTAGCAAAATACCTATAAGGTCGATAGTCGTTCCATCTTCAATGGTGACCTCAGAAACTGATGCTCCCAGGTCCAATAACAACTGTACACACTCTACATGGCCATTTAACGCTGCCATATGAAGTGGGGTTAGGCCTCCATCTGCCTTCCAGTTTACCATCTTGACCAAACCACTGCCAAGACAGGTATGTCACTACATGATTCGTTTAAGAAATAAATGAGAAACAAGCAATGGACCCAACATACTCATCATCAAAATCAGCATCTGAAACTTCCTCAGACGATCTGTGATTCGTCTGGCTTAAGAAGTTTGGGATGCTTGGCACATAATCTGCAAGCACGAGACGAAGGCACCGGGCATGACCATGCAGTGCAGCAAAATGGATAGCAATCCCGCCATTCAAATAATCTGTCCTGTGGATCTGAAAGACATTTCGCCGCCTCAGGACTACATATCCAAGCAGTAAAAAAGAATACCAGTGAAATAGCAAGAAAAATGCTCACATTTGCATTGAAGAGCATCAGTGTCTGAACAACCTCCCAGTGGCCATATTGGCAGGCTTGCATCAGAGCAGTCTACACATAACCAGAAACATACAGGCTTCATTACAGGTTCCCGACCAGCTTCATCTCTGATGTCGAACTGAAAATTACAAAAATGTAGTATAGCAAAGATTGAATTTACCTGCCCCCTGTAATTCCTGAGGTTGATCTCCACACCGGATTCGAGCAACAGAGAAACAATCTAGACATGGTGTCAACAGATTTTTTTGGATGCATAAATGACAACATTTTAGCCAGCCTGGAAGACAAAATGGCATTACCTCATGGTGACCCTGCGCCGCGGCGTAGTGCAGCGGCGAGTTGCGGCCGCCGAATGTGGAGTAGCGGGCCAGCCGGGGGTTGTACTCGAGGAGCGCGCGCGCCTCCTGCAGGTCGCCGTCCCGGGCCGCCGAGACGAGGCGCTCGCCGGAGGCCGAGCACCCGAAGGAGTTGCCCACGAGGCTGAGGAACCCCATGGATGCCCAAAGACGAGGCCTTCACGGCACACCACCCTTCCTTGAGCGCACGGGAAGACCCCCTATCAAATGCTCACCGAATTCCTCAAAAATCAGGGGGCACCGTTGGGGGAAAGATGGCAAGAAGTCAAGAACCCGCCGTCCACAAGAACCGCCGGGGTCGCTCGCTGGTCCCGATCGAGGCGAGCGGGGCCAAGACCGGCAATTCCCCTCCGAATCAGCCCCAAATCCCGGCAAGAAAAGCGGGAGGCCGGAGGGGGGATCACGGGCGGCCGCCGCCTCGAATCCTCAGAGCGCCCGCCCGCCCGCCCGCGATTCCGGCGATGGGAGGCAGGATGTGGGGAATCTTGGGCGGGCAAAGCCGAGGCGATTTGCACGAACGCGGGCTTGCAATTCGGCGAGGGCGAGGCAGGTGGACGGAATAAATGATCTGATGGAGACGGAGACGGCGACGTCGACGTCGAGATGCAGAGAGAGAGAGAGGGTGGTGGTGGTGGCAGGGAAATCTCCACGGCACGTCCCTCTCCGGCGTACACAGTGGTGCTTCCAAAAACTTTATATCGCTTTAGAAAAATAGAACAGCAATTAATCAACGAACGATAATGACTTGGATTTAAATTTTAATCACCACGGCGATGTGCGACGGCGACCTCTAAAACAAAAAAGATAAGACATGGCTTTGCTTTACCTTTTCCAACCTGCAAGATGGATAGTTGTGGGTGACAAAGCTCACATTTGGTGTCCCCCTCCTATTGTTTACTTGTGTTTATCCATATCCATGGGGTTTGCTTTTCTTTGGTTATTGACATAGATAGATGTGTTTGCCATTGGTATTGTGATTTATAGACGTGGTCGGCGACAGCCTCCCGAGATATTTATTGATTGCAAATAAAAGGTACCGATAAAGCTAGGGCGACCAAAGACCATGTTAGACTGATTATTATTTGCTACTAGGTATATCTGATTGTATTTTAGAATGCAATAAGTGTCAACCTCGCGCGCAATTGATTGCAAATAAGGCGTATCGGTAACGCTACGTCAACCAAAGCCCGAGAGAGAAGACCTCGTCGGCGTGGTTATTTCATACTAGATATACCCCCCCCTCCCCCTCAAATTTTTGAATACAATCAATGTCAAAATCACGTATGACGCATCTGTGAGTCACGACACGGCAAGACCCGCAAAGGTGATCTCAATGACGGAGTGGTTACGGTTGTGGAGCATAGTCGCCTCTAACATAGGAGCGGTGAAATTGCTTCAAAACATGATTGACATCAACCTAGCACACTACTCAATTGCAAAGTAAAAGCGTCACCGATGGTACATCAATTAGTGGCCGAGAGAGAAGAACTTGTCGAAGTGGTTGTTTACAACTAGATGTTTTGCACGTTGTCTTTTAGAGGTTTGGGAAAACTCCTATACAAGTGTGGTTATGGGTGCAAGATCCGCAACAGTGGCGGATGTGAGCATCATTCCACTTCCTAGAGGCATCGTAGAGGAACTCCACTCGTATCCTTGTTGTGGTCCGCTCTCCTCAATTATGGTGTTGATGGGGGGAGATGGGCGCCGCTGCCGCTCGGGGTCGTAAAGCTATCATTTTGCTGCACCTCATTGTTCTTATGTGGACTTTGACTGGCTCTTTGTTTTGCCACCCAAGCTCATGTGTGTCTGCTAGTGATGGTTGATGGCAATATAATGGGGTTCATGCTCTTGGTGCAGTCTCGGTTGATCGGCATCCTTTGAAGACATAGATGTCCAAACCCTAGTTTGCAAAGTGCTCAACATTGTCCTTATGGCAAAGCTCGTGGCCAAGGTTCATGTTATGTTTACTGACATGGATTTAAATTTAAAGCACCACGACGATGCGAGATGGCGACCCTAAACAAAACTGACAAGGCATGGCTTGCTTTACCTTTTCCAACCTGCAAGATGGATAGTTGTGGGTGACAAAGCTCACATTTGATGTCTCCCTATTGTTTACTTGTATTTATCCATATCCATGGAGTTTGCATTTCTTTGGTTATTGACATAGATAGATGTGTTTGCCATTGGTATTGTGATTTATAGACGTGGTCGGCGACAGGCTCCCGTGATATTTATTGATTGCAAATAAAAGGTACCGATAACGCTAGGGCAACCAAAGACCATGTCGGATTGATTATTATTTGCTACTAGGTATATCTCATTGTATTTTAGAATGCAATTAGTGTCAACCTCGCGCGGAATTGATTGCAAATAAGGCGTACGGGTAACGCTACGTCAACTAAAGACCGAGAGAGAAGACCTCGTCAGCGTGGTTATTTGCTACTAGATATACCCCCACCAAATTTTAGAATACAATCAATGTCAACGTCACACATGACGCATACATGAGTCACGACGTGGAAGTGTCGTCGACCTGGCAAGACCCGCAAAGGTGATCTCAATGGAGTGGTTATGATTGTGGAGCATAGACGCCTCCAGCACAGGAGCGGTGACACTTGTCGGGGGTTGGGTGCGACATATGCAAAAGGATGGCTTATCATGGTGGGAGCGAGTAGAACGTCGCCGGTGCCTGGAAGCGGGATGAGGCGTAGACACGAACGCCGGCACATTTTACCGGGTTTGGGGCTCTCCTTGGAGATAACACCCCTGGTCCTGCTCTGTGGGGTCTCCGCATGATCACTAAGGCACTAGTGAATACAATGGCGCTCCTCGACCTATATGCTAGAGGCAGAAGGAGGCAGGGCTCGGTCTCTTCTCCCTCTATGTATGTGTCAGGACCCCAATCCTAAGTCACATCGATCTAGCATGTAACACATCATATCACTTTGCGGCCTCACGCACGGTATTCCCACGGGTGCCACCTTACCTGGCCCGGGACCGTTTGCGCCTTTTGGCTCACATATATGATAGTGCCGCTAGCATCCATATGACAAAAAACCCGAGCTGACATGGCTAGTCGTGAACCGAAAGTGGCACTAACTTACAGGGATAGGCATACATGACCCAACAACGAACGTGTCGGTCATCAGCGAGTGAATCCAGGCTGTAGCACTGGGCTAGCAGGACTCCGGTGAACCGGGCTGTAGCGGGCTAACAGGACTATGGAATTCATCGTGTGACATTTCCCTGAGGGGACAGACACAGGAACAAAGAAGGACACATGCCGGCCAGCCTAAGTGTTCCGGAGCAGTAGCAAGCTACCATGGCTCAGTGGAAACACTAGGAGACATTTCCCGGTAAGAGAGGCTACTAAGGATAAACAACTAGATAGTCAGATCCCACGCATACCAAGCATTTCAATAACATACACACAATATGCTCGATATGTGCAAATACAACATGGCAACACAACATGACTCTACAACTCAAGTATTTTATTCAAAAGGCTCCGAGGAGCGAGATATTACAAACCTGGGTCTCATGACCCAACATTCAGAGCAAACAAGTCAAGCACAAGCGGAAGCTTAACATGTCTGAGTACAGACAACTATAAATGGAAAAGGCTGAGAAGCCTGACTATCTACTAGATCCTGCCGAGGGCACAAGATCGTAGCTGAGGTAACAAGCTAAACGTCGAAGTCCAAGCGGAACTACTAGCGAGACTGAAGTCTCTCTGCAAAAACATAGATTAAGCAACGTGAGTACAAATGTACCCAGCAAGACTTACATCAGATCTAACTACATATGCATCATTATCAACAAAGGGGATGGTGGGGTTTAACTGCAGCAAGCCAGCTTTGACTCGGTGGCTATCCTGAACTACGACTGCAATGTAACTCTTTGAGGTGGCGCACACGAGTGCACATATTCACCATATCAATACACCACTATGGATCCGCTCCTGTCTCCCTACGAGAACGCCATCCATAGCACTCACGCTTATCTTGCGTATTTTAGAGTATCCACTTTCACTTGTCTATGAACTGTACAGGCAACCCAGAAGTCCTTTACCGCAGACACGGCTATTCAATAGATAATGTTAACCCTGCAGGGGTGTACTTCTTCACACACGCTCTCACCACTTACCGCCGTTTACACGACATGTACTCGGCAACCTTCAAGCGGAAGCCCAGCGAGGGTGTCGGCCACGACCTGACTAACCACACAAGTCTCTCGTCCAGGTTTATCGCCTATTCGGGTTCCATCCGCAAGGAGATCCGGCCGGGGTGTCGCTCACGGCCCTAAACGATGTGAGCAGGGTTCCCAAGCCCACCTCGATGGGTGGATCTACGCTTGGTACACCGTGCCACTGTGCCTAGTCTGTCCCAAGCCCACCTGTACCGGGTGCCACTTGGTAGACTACTAACACTACCTACAAACACCAGAAACTAGTTGCAACTCCTGGACAGAGATCAAGTTGATTAATAAGCCGAGAGGGGCCGAGTTACCGGAACCCAATGTGTGGTAGTAACTGTTCATGGATCACAAACACAGAACTCAGTTCCTGAGGACGGTTTCAATGAGACAACCCACCATGTACTCCTACATGGCCTCTCACCGCTACCTTTACCAAATCGTGTTCACACACTTAGCTCTCAACAATAGGACATGTTCACACACCTCCAATTCATCCCCGATGAATCAGACTTGACACAACTCTAAGCAATAGCAGGCATGACAACAAGCATGAATGAGTAGGCACATCAGGGCTCAAACAACTCCTACTCATGCTAGTGGGTTTCATCTATTTATTGTGGCAATGACAGGTCATGCAAAGGATAAAGGGGTTCAGCTACCGCAGCAAGTAACAGATGAATCGGTGTTGTCCTAATGCAGTAAAAGAGAGCAGGGGCGAGAGAGTGGGATTTTATCGGAATGAACAAGGGGGTTTTGCTTGCCTGGAACTTCTGAAGATAGTATAGTTCTTCATCGGTGTCATCGATCACATCGTCGGTACACGTCTACTGAGAGGGGACAAGCACCGACAAACAAAGAGGAAACACAATCAATGCAATGCAACAATATGATGCATGAATGTGACATGGCAATATGCTGTGGTTTGTGCTAATGCAACT